AGAGGGGCCAGCGCTCAGCAGCAGTGCCCTCCAGGTCCAGGACCCTCTGTGACAGGCGTCCAGGGAGGCTCCCAGACGATCTGCTGCCCAGGCAGGGGGGAGGTGGGCAGGGGCCCTGGGAGGCCTCGGCTGGGCCCGGCCTGCTCCTGGGCGCAGGACAGCCCAGAGGAAACGCGCTGCTCAGGGGTCCCCACTCTCACCCTCCGAGCAGGGCCGTGGTCTCCCTTCTTCTGCCGAAGGCAGTGGACGCTGGGGAGGGTGAGCCTGGGCCTGGGTGCGAGTCAGGGGAACCGGGGCCTGTCCCTGGCCACCTTCCCTGGCTGGGTTCCCTCAGGCACCCGTCCCTGCCACACCAAGGGCAGCCACGTGCCCGACTGGCAGCTGGCTCTGGTTCTGGTTCTGCCCGGCTGAGCCTCTTCCCTCCCTGCCCGGAAACTTCCATGACTCCCACAGCCCTGAGCCACTCAGCACTCTGTGACCTTCCCCTCCCCGGGGTGTCACGGCCCTCCAGAGAGGTCCCCTCCAGGAAGGACCCTATTGAAGTCAGCAGAAGAGCCGGCCACGTGTGTGGCCAGGCTGGGCTCTGTGTGGGCCGTCCGCCTGGCCCGAAAGAGGAGACTGCAGGCCGCCAGGTTGGAGACTGAGTGTCAGGCTGGCTCCTGGTTCCAACTCCTGCCTGGACCATGTGCTGGCCACACTAGAACCAGCAGAGGCCAGGCAGTGTCCCGGGTGGCCATGCTGACCAGGGGAGCCCCGAGGGCCATACCTGGGCCAGGAGGGTAGGGGACCCCTGTGCTTCTGCAGACCCCCAACTCAGCTCCTCTCTGCCACCTCTGACCTGTCCATGTGCTACCCTTGGGGTCCCCAGAGGTTCCCGTCCCCAGGGCCTGTGGGGCCTCCTGCAGCTGTGCCTTGGTGCTGGCTGTCCCCGGGGGATCCCCACACTCCCCCTGTGCACGCCCAGGCTTGACTCAGTGTCTCGCCAGACCATGCCCCTGGTTCTGCCTCTCACACAGACGGACGCCGGGCCAGCTCTGGAGTCCCTGTCCCTGTTCCCCATGTCCAGCACAGCCCTCCACCTTCCTCCTGCCTGGATCCCTCCTCCCTACCCACCCTGCTGGCCCTTCCCAACGCAACTGGGGCGTCCTGACATGATTCAGATCTGGCCACACCCAATCCAGCCGAGGGGACAGCCAGGGCCACCAAGGGCCCCCCCCCAGCTCTGCCACCTTCCTGACTTTACCCTCACCCTTGGCCTTTCTCTGGCCCCAGGACCCCTGCCCATCTTTCAGACCGAAGTTCCAGGTCACCTCCCTCCCCTAGAGAGTGGGACAGGGTCATGGCAACTCTCCTGGGATGGTGATGGCCAGGCATCTGGGGGCGGAGGAGCCAGGTTCCTGTGCCCTCTCCCAGCCCCCAGCAGAGAACACCTGCCCTCCTGCCCTCCTGCCCTCCTGCCCTCCTGCTGGCTTGGGCTGTGCTCCTGGCTCACCTGGCACATGTGCCTCCAGTGGCCTCCCCAGGATGAGTGACAGCCAGGCAGAACCACACCCAGGCCAGCTCCCTGGGGACAAGGGGCCTGCTGAGGGTGGCCCAAGGTGCGGGTGCAGGTTCTGCTCTGCCACTCTGTCCCCAGGCTTCCAGGACAGACCTGTCCTCTGCCTGTGGGGGCCTTCTTGTGAGTATCATGGCCAGGGTGCATGCTGTCCCACTACCCTCTGGAAGCCAGGGCTCATGCCCCTGTGTCTGTCCCTTCTCCCCAGGGCTCTGCAGTGGCTCAGGGGCAAATGTCCATCCTGGTGGACAGTGTATGAGATGCTGGGGCATCTGGGCTCTTAAAAGGCCACAGAGACTCTGGTGGTCGCAGGGAGCCACCAGCCACCTCCCAGGCCTCCTGGTCACCTCCAGCCTCCTAGTCTCCATTGTCCAGGAGACTTGGGGTCAGGAGGGTACGGGGAGCGTGAAGGAGAAGTTGTTCCTGGGCATTCTTGCTTTGGTCCCAGTCCCCCAGCTGAACCCTCACGTTCTCCCCAGGACTGGGGACAAACCCTGCCTGATCTTCAGGCTGGGCTGGATGGGGCAGTCACATGAGTAGCCTGCAGGGGGCAAAATTGGGACGGGTACTGAGTCTTGCTGCCCCTGCAGGAACTATCCAGAGGGGGATGGTGGGGCTGGGCAGCTGGGAGTGTCCAGCCCGGGAAGGGCATTTTTGGCATCTCAGTGGGGACTGGGAGACAGGACTGGGGGTAGTGTGGAGGAAGAAAAAGAGACTGGTGTCCCGAGTTGGGGGCGGCAGATGGTGGACATGGTCACCGGGAAGCTCTGAGCTCAGGGAGCCCCACTGAAAGTGGGGAGAGGGTCTGGGGTCTGTGCGAGTCGTGCACGTGGACAGGGCTGAGCCCCGTGCTGAACCGGGCTGTGCCGGCTTGGGGAACAGGGCCCCCGGCCTGTCAGGCTGAGCCCTGGGCCCCGGAGCCAGAGCAGACGCAGGAAATGGCTGATTGCATTCAGCTCAGGAACACCAAATCCCTCGCAGCTGCGCTTGGCGGGGCCTGGCCCCGGGCGGGGCGGCCATCGCCAGAGTCCTGACAGCTCTGCAGAGCGTGCCAAGGGTCTGGGCCGCGGGCCGGGGGCGCCTTTCCCAGGCCAGAGGCCCCCACCCCACCCCAGGAGAGCGGCCCCTTTCAGTTCCCAGAACGGAGCCCAGCTGTGGAAGAGCGAGGGTGAGGTCATGGGGAGGGGGCCGCATGACTCACATCCTGGGGCAGGCGGGAAGGGAGGAGGCAGGGAAAGGGGCCCAGAGGCCTCCTTGTCCTTGGCTGCTGGGTCAGGAGCGGGGGCTGGTGGGACTTCTCCCCAGCGTGGGAGACCCTGCCCTGCACCTTCCCTGTCCCCCAAGCTTCTATCCAAGGAGGGCTAAGTGGGGGTGCCCCTTGGAGGAGCCCTGGCTCTGGAGCGGCCATGTTCCCAGAAAACACACCTTGGCCTCCCCCCAGGCCCTGCTTACTGTTGTCTGGGTGATGTGCAGGAAAACAGTCAATAGTGAGGTGGGGGCACCCCAGAAGGAGCCTGGGAGGGGGCAGGACCTGCCGTTCCCATGCCCTGCTCCTACGTCCTGGGTGTGCAGGCCCAGGGACGTCCAGGTGTGGGCCAGGGTTGTGTGGGGTGCCCACTGGGCACAGGAGAGCAAGTGTGTGCACGTCCACCCTGCTGGGTGGGAGCTGGGAGCAGCTTCACGTGCTCACGTGGCTCTGCCCGTGGGCCCCGTGGGGCCCCGTGGCCTTGGTTCGGTACCCCGGGGGTTTGCACCCCTTTCTTTGTGCTTTTGGAGGTTCTTGGCTTGATGGAGGGGTCCGAGGAGCAAGACTGACCCTGGTCCCACTCAGAGGCCACAAGGGAGTAGGGCCAGCCCCAAGAAGAAGCTGAGGCTCTGCCTGGGGACCCAGGCCCACATGCCCACTTGGGCACATGCGTCCTGTCCACACACGCTCCAGAACCTCCCTCCACGTGCGTGTGCAGACTTCAAGGCACACCCAGCCTGTGCCCACAGAGAGCCAGAGGTGGGAACAGCTCACCCTGCATGGGCTTTCCCAGGGGTTGCCCGGGCAAGGCAGGGACACCCCCACCTGCCCACTCTGGCTGTCCACTAGGAGACGGCTGGTGTGCATGGGTGCTAGCAGGAACCCCAAGAGCAAGGAGCTCCCCCTCCCTGGCCGGCAGAGGCCGCAGAGCAGGAGGCTGGCCTCTCTGCGGGTGATGGGAGCCAGGTGTGGGGAGTTGAGGGCTTCACGGGCTGCAGTTGGAGGCCCTGTGAGGATGAGGCAGGCAGCTGGCCGAGGGAGGTGCAGTCCCATGTGGCTGGGGGGGCCGTGCTGGAGCCTGAGGAGAGGCCTGGCTTTCGTCTGACAGGCTTAGGGGAGACCTGGGGAGATTAGATCATGTGCTGGCAGGGCTGCCTGGCCAGGGGACGGAGGCCCAGAGGGGAGCGGGCTGTGGGGTCATGTGGCGGACACCGGCCGGGAAGGACTGAGACCCCGGCAGAGAGCTGCAGCCCGGTACCAGCTCTGGCCTGGGCTCCTTCCTGGTGGAGGGGGCAGTGAGCCCTGTAGCTGCAGAGACCCTGGAGCCCCCCAGCTCCAGGTGAGCTGGGGGTCGGCTGGGATGGCCGAGCTGTGGTGCCTGCTGGACAGCAGTGGCTAGAGAGCTAGGGGCCAGGGCTCCAGATCCCCAGGCCAGCCTTGTGCCTTCCTCTGTTTGTTCCCAACCCTGCTGTGAGGGACTCTTCCGAGAAGCCTGGGGTCAGGGCACTCTGAGGGCAGCTGAGCAGCCCAGAGACTAGGGCCTCCACCTTGAACCAGCCCAGAGACTCCACAGAGGACTCTGAGCTGAGGGTGGGGTGCCCGACAGGGGGCCCAGCTGTGGACTGGACACATGCTCGGTGGACGTGCGAAGGGGCTGAGGCTGGACAGGAGCACATGCTGGGAGGCTGACGCAGGCCTCCTACCGTGACTTGGTGGCAGGGCCACCTCCTCCTGACGCTCGGTGCTGAGGAGCAGGAAGGCCTGCCCAAGTCAGGTGGGGTGAGGGTGGCTGGCTGGCCGGCCACCTGGTGTCTGCTGTCCAAGGTGTGTGAGCACAAGTGGCCAGGGTCATGACCCCCAGCCATCTCTTCCCAAGCCCTGGTGCTCTAGGTCCTCGTCCAGTTGGGCCTAGGGAGGCGGGAAAGTAGGAGGGGACAGTTTTGAGTTCCATTTTGGTTTCTTCAGGCCCACCTGGACACTGAAGCCCCTCCATCCCCAGGAGAGTACCTGGATGCCCAGATGCATGGGGCCCAGGGCCTCCACCTGGACCAGAGGCAACTTCGTGGCTTGGTGCATGGCCTCTGTTTTAAAGATGGGAAAACTAAGGCCGAGAGAACTGGTCCAGGGCTGTCCACCGCTCTTACCGGGTGACACCCTGTCTCCGCCATGGCGTGACTGTCCCTCTGTGTCTCCCTCCAGGCTCACCACTCAGTGGAGTGTGGAGGATGAAGAGGAAGTGGCCCGGGAGCAGCGCCGGCGGGAGCGGATGAAGCAGGACCAGGATGAGGGTGGCCCCTACCCAGACCAGCCGGAGCAAGAGGCCCTGTAAGCCCCCTGGCCCTGGAGCCCTGTGTGCTGTGGCCCAGGGCCTGGGTACAGGGTCAGGCCCTGGGCTTTGAGGTCCCAGGGTAGGACGACTCAGAGCAAGGCAGTGCTCTTAGGGCAAGGGTGGTCAGCAGCCTTGGGTGACCCCATCTGCCAGATGCCTGCCTGGCCAGAGGGTGCGCAGAGCCACGAAAGGCCGCCCCTCCCAGCCAGGATCCTGGGGTCTGACTCAGGCTCTGGACACTCTGCCTGGTCCCAGCCCTCGCTTGGACCGGTGCTGACCCCGGCCCCGGCCCTGGCCCCCGAGCCCCCCGCCCAAGTTCCCTGCTGCCGGTGACTCACAGAGGCCACGTCCAAGTTGGCGGCCACAGGCCTGCTCGTTTCCTCCCCGGGCCCAGGAGGCCTCCGCGGCTGGGCTGGGCTGTTTCTCCAATAATGCTCCCCTTCCTCCTGGCCCTGTTTTGTTCCATTTTCTCCGAGTCAGCAGCTTAGGGCGGGGTGGGGTGCTGCAGCGGTCATGGTCCCTCGGCCAGGTCTCTCAGTCACCCTGAAGCCTGAGAATCCCTTCTAGCCCCCAGCCCCTGCTCCTGCAGAGCTCACCTTGTTACACTGGAGAGCCCGTGAGGACGGCTCAGGGCTGGAGTCTGGGCCGGGGCAGCTTGGAGAGCCCTAGCCCTACTCCAGGGGAGCCCTAGGACCATGGGGGAGGCCCAACCCTGCTCCAG